TGGACAAGACGCCGGGACAGATGAAATATTCCAATACTTTGTCACGGAACGTTAGAACCATAGACAATTCCAACTGGTGTTCCTCATTCCATTACATACAAGTAAATATAGTTATAACTGTAACTGTAATGTTATGTAATGTATTAGGATTGTATGTATGACCCTGTTGGCATGGTGGCTTTAAAAAGGTGCCCTAACATGAACACCTGTTCCACCATTCCATGCACTACTCATCTATCTGGAGAATCATTATAAATGAATGAATGAATGGATGAATGAATGAATGAATGAATGAATGAATGAATGAATGAATGAATCAGACCTGACATGTTCATACACCATTTGGATTTTGGTGACGATGCAGTGCCGACGCCATAAAGTGTACAGGTTGTCCCTAAGCTATTTGTAAGGAGCGTACCAAGTATTGTTAAATTCACTTTTTAATGAACTTAGACAAACCCCCGATCCTTAAACTTGTATGTACTTATCTTTTCAACATCACAGAGAAGCGAAGAGAAGTCGAAATTATGTAACAGACTGTAGTGCTAGTACTAGATTGATCTTGTTGTGTATATATTTGTGTATTCAAGTTAACCTTTGTACCTAACCCAGTGGGTATGTTTGTACAATAAAGGTCTTCATTCATTCATTCATTCATTCATTCATTCATTGTCCATGCATTGAGGGCACAGCACACTGGGTCAGCCATTATATATATAATTGGATTAGGAAAGTCGATAATTTGTGCATGTTTGCAGCTGTTCAATCCAATGACCTACCCTGGCGCTGTCAGCAAATCGGTGTGTTTATTGGAACCCATCCACGGTGGGTTGAGTGATGGTGAGGAACGATTGGCTTTAACATCATTCATGAGAAGGAACGAGCGTTAGGTCAACACTTAGATCCACAGTATCAGCGTTTCGCTGTAGGTAATAATCGATAGATAATATAGATAGAGAGCTGTATGTTCTACAATATTTACAACTGAAGCATGAGGAAAATCGCAGTTTGTAATATTCATTCTTTCCTAGAACTATCGCAGAGTGGAACTCGCTGTCACCAAGTACAGTAGGGGCATTGTCATTAGATAGCTTTAAACAAGTCGATCGGTGTAATGTAGCAAGCTGCCGCCGCGCCGCGTGCCTGCGAAGCTGGTGTGTCACGCCGAAAGGCGGTTATACCGGCTATACTGATACAGATACAGAATATTAGAGTTCCCGTATTGTCGCATGCCTGTCACAAATACAGCACCAGCATCATGAAATTGGGTATATTAAGCATCATGAAAGGTCGGACACAGGAAATGGGGAGTGACCTTGAAATTAAGAAAATCTTGCCAGACGCCAGCATGAATCAGATGTCGACATATGGAGGAATTTGGGAAGCCAATTAAAGTGCATCATACAGTCTCTAGATGTCCCAATTAATTCACGAAAACCCCAAAATATAGAACTCTGAAACCTCCAATTTGCATATTTTGAGAGAGGCAACAACAAAACAGGAATTCTGAGGTCCGTGTGTAACTTCACCCTTACGGCTGGCGTTTTGATATACCCCGAGGCAATCATTCTTCATTTTCCAAAAGTAAGGCGCTTCGTGGTGACCAAAGATTCTACCCTCTATCGACTATATGTATTTTCAAATCGATCCAACTTCTGTGTTTATCGACAGATGTAAAAGATTTATGGTCTTCTTCACAGAGCATCTTGCTGGCTGTGCCATGATATGTTGTAAAGAATGAGGCGCTATTCATCTTAAAGTTTGAGAATCCTGCTTCATGCCAAGTAGTCTATTCGTAAACCGGGTCCAATTTTCCAGGGAATCCATGTAACGCGGTAGTAACAGTCCCAGCAGCGCACACAGACCCAAGACAAATATGTACACACCTGACCCGATATCGATCCACACGCATCGTTAGACGAAAACCCGAAAGGATGACGCCAAACAATATGTGCGAAACATAAATAATCCCCGAAATTGGAACTGTCGGCGTAAAAGTTGAACAATCTGCATTGTACCGGACCTTGCACAGGCCCCTTAGCTGGCGGGTAATTTGCAAATAACTCTTTTATCCTGCCGTCGATCGATAGGAAATGTTGGAGGTCACCTCTCGGTGATTGTACTCTAACGAGATTAGGATCCGCTGGGGATACCCCGCACACGCCTGGGACTGTCTTCCCGGGAAATTGATACGTATCTGATTTTGGAAGCGGCGGATTTTGATTGGATACGTCATTACCAGGGGCCTGACGGCGACATTCCTGGAAGAGGTAAGTCTCGTCCCCAGTGTACGTAGCGTATTGTTCCGGGAAACGAGCTCGAATTCAGCGGCACGACGACTTTATGAACAATACATCACGTGTAGTCGTTCGGTGTAATACAGCTAGCTGCCGCCGCGCCACGTGCCTGCGAAGCTTGTGTGTTACGCCGAAGGGCTGTTATACCGGCTATACAGATGCAGATACAAGTATGAACTAGAAAATAGCTGGAGCATCGAATAGCAAGCCCTGAAGTAGAGCAGAGTAAGGTATAGTGTTAGAATCATTCCCGACTATGTACTAGTATGTTATACCAAAGACTTTAAAAAATAGTACATACTGCTTTCTCTGCCTAGCACTTAGTATCTATAAAAAGTGTATGGGAGGTCAAACACACAACACTACCAGCGGACTAGCTCCCTGTTGTATTGTCGGTACAACTTACTGTGTGGCCCAAGGGCTACAGAAATGGAGATGGACACCGCCCCTATGCTCTTCACAGTAGGTATCAAACACTAGTAAAATCATTGACAATGCCATATGTTCACCATGCAAAGCAAAACCCAGTCTAAAATTTATTTTCTTCCAATCATTAAACCACTCACTGATTACAAGTAGATATTGACGCAAGTCACGGAACCCTTAACATCAGTAAGGCTACAAATGCCAACTATGAAAAAAAACGCTGGTCATAATGACCCAAGCAATAAACACATCGCATTCTACAGAACTTTGCCTACGTACAGCGGTATACGCGCGATCGCTGTTTCTGCTGACATCATATACATGAAAATTATTTGAAGACAAAGCAAATTATCGGTAGGCAAATCGCCTTTTGCCGACCACTCGCTGGTAGTGACGTCATGGTGATCGCTTATATTTGAGACAAATTATACAGCACCCTCTCTTATAATGTTTTCTAATGCTTTACAAGTTGGGTCAGGTATTATCAGGTGAATTTTTTCTAAAAGCTTTAGAAATATGTCTTTAAAAAACACCAAACCCTAATTAACCAGATACTCTGTCCAATAGTATATATATAGATGATATGTTTAGCCACTTATCACTTATGTTTATTTTTATGTTCTTCTTAGTCTATATTTACACGCAACACAACTCACAGATTCAGTTGTTTTCTTTAAAAACAAACTCAACACTAGTGTCGCAGCGCCCCCTGTCAATATGATACAAAATTGGACGCACATGACCACAAGGACTGACATTCAAAAGTAACAATTATTAATATGCGAATTATGTTTTACGTATATTGATATCTGCCAAGCATACAATCATTAGTCTCAAGCTGTTGTATCGCCAATATTTAACAATGTAATTAACAAGAGTAAATACCAGATGGAAATTTTGATCCCCTAATTTGATCTTACTTTAATGCAGTCGCGTTAGTAAGTGTGATATGACTTTACACTTGTTTAAGACCTTCCCTTTCCTTTCCTTTCCTTCCTTTTGCTAGTCACAAGCGGCATTGGGAATGTTTTTGTTTTGCCTGTGACGAAGTACAAAATCATCGCTTTCCTTAGTGTCAGCTGGATTACTCTCATCCTGCTGACAAGTCTCAGAATCCTGACTTTCATGTAAATCCTCCACCTCTGTCTCTTTCTTATCTTCAATGCACAAAAGTAATGGGGATGGAGGTCCCAGCCATTTGTGCAACTTAGCCCAAAATGTCTCCCTAGCCATTGGTTCAGTCCAGTCCAGATATGTACGCAAAACTAACCCTCCTGGAATCTGACATTCATCATACTTAATAACAACAAGACAATCTTCTCTTTGATCCAGTTTACGATTGAAAGTAAGGGCCAGTTCATGCATGCACCATCCACTCTTGATAAATGTTTTGGACATAACGACAATCACTTTGCGGCTTTGGTTCACCCCATGGGCAATGTTAGCAAGTACCTCTTTACCTAGGGTAAAGTCACGTACATCCAGACAAACTCTGTAATTATTACTTTCCAGATCATGTAACAGATCATTTCTAACCCATTCGGCCTGATGACTGCTGTATGAGATGAAAACATCATATGGGTGACTTCCTTCAATCGGTCCTGGATAAAATATGTATTTAACAGTAATCAATAGTTCAGTTAAAATGCACTTTTCGATGAAATAATGCAAATGCAAGAGATAAATAAGTTAGACATAATGTATAGAATGTGTTACAAAAGTAACAAACATGCCATTATTTGCTTTGATATGTTGGTATCTATACCTACCTCCAAGTGCATTCATTTGATGGATCTTATCTAATGCATTTCGTAAGTCTCTTTCCTGAAGTTTCCAACGGGCGAAGAAGTAAACCCAGAGAGCACACCGTGTGAGTGGGACAATGCTAACAGTTAATACTAGCAACATCCATCCCAGAAAGGCGACTGTATAGAAAAGGGAAAAGGTTATAGAATTACTCATCATTGATTATACAAATCATATCCTGATTTGCATAATTGTCTCCTAAGTATGTAAAGCATCATTTCAGCCACGTATGTGCCAAAATCATGATGATTAAGTTATCCTCTTTCAAACGCCCCTGCAGTTCCAGAACGAGATGCTAGTGGACCCAAACCTACATTACTTCTGTCCGTGCATAGGGAGCTATGTACCACCCTAATTTCGTGACCCTAGAATGTCCAGATGGAGACATTGGATGTAAGCACTCTCGAGTTATTGATTTGACAAACACTGTCGATTCAAAGCAATAATTTAACAATCATTGCATTGACATACCGTTCCAAGGATCAGGTGCAAAAGGATGGATGATCTGGAATGTGTTCAAGATACTATGTTCTTTCCTAAGGCACAAAAGAACAACTTTGTCAATTATACACATCATGCACTTTTACATAGAATTCCTCCTAATCATGAATGAATGAAGGCAAAAGTAGGTTTAAGCTGAGCAAAATAATCGAGGAAAGAAAGTTAGAATAATGCGTACCCATTCTCATCGAATCTAGGACCTATGTGCGTCGCATTTGGATATTGGATGCCATTTTTCTCCAAAAGGCAATTGTAAACACCATAAGATGTTGGATCTTTGATCTCAATATCAAATGTTGCGAAGACTATATCCACATTTTCAAAAGCTGTGGAAGTGGTCTCGACATCTACCCGAAGAACCTGCAATGCACAATTATACAAATATGTGGCCATATTCACATTGTATCAGAACCACACCACGTTTTATTATATTATTATATTATGAGAATCACAACTACATCACAGCCTCAGGCTGAATTACATACATGCAATCCTTACAGCAACATTCAACTAAAAATTACAAGAATGGACTTTAAATCGTGAGATAAAGCATCACAAAGCATGTCCTTGAAGCAATTATAAAATTGTACGGACAAATATATAATCTAAATTAATGAGTTGCCACCACCTTACCCACTGATCTAAAAGTATTGCATTGTAAAACATGGCATATCATAAGACCGTGTTATTTACATCGAACCATAGTTTAGTAATCTGACAAGGTATGGTATTTGCAAACCTCCGTATCACATTACGGTAATACGGCTTGCTGCAAAGCAAATGGTACGTGCTTACAGGTATTTAAGGTATGATATGATGCAAGAATTGAATTACATGTACAAAGAGGAAATTTACAACGAGTACCGAAGGCTGCTGTGGCGCTTTAATAAAGTTAAACGAGGTACATACTTCTTTTCTGTCCAATGTAACAGCAATCATGTAATGGCCCTCCTCTCCACTAAGTTCAGCAAAAAAGCCACAAGTGTGCTTTACTGTTCTCTTCAGACCAGCGGGGACTTTAAAAGAGATTAGGATTTTTAACATGTGAGAAGTAATTGCTAGAATACAAAATAGGCAAGCAATAAAATATTTGAGATAATTTATTTGAGAGTGGGACAGTCCCGTTTTTTACGAAAAGGCCATCAATGGTTCATTTACCAGTTCACGTGCCAGTATTATAAAAACAGCATCTATGAGCCAGGAATATGCATACTAATGTCTACCAGGTCATTTCATTTTGATGATCTGCGATCAGCTGCGTTTATTGGGTACCTTTGATCCAGTGTGTTGACGTCACACTTAGAGAAGCCATGTGACGAGACTCACTGGGTCAGTCTTTTGAGGAAGACCAGAGTGAGAACCATTCTTTGAGTTGAAACAAAAGTTTTTACTTTAAACATAAACCAACCTGTATATGGCTCCAAGTCCAAGTACATTTTGCTTTGCAACCCTTGCTCATAGAACACTGACAGATCCAAGCAACCATGATCTTTCCGTCGCAACAAACACTCGTACCGTCCGTACACATCTTGAACTGTTTTGTTTAAGGTAAACAACTCCTCCATGGGCTTTGTAGGATCTGGGGTGTAGGCAGCAGAGGCAACCTGTAAATATTTAGGCATAAAGCAAATTATTCACTAAACGAGCAGCATCTTTAGGGGTCAGCAGGGCTATATAGAACAACATTGTCCTGGAGTATATGATAAAAATACAGTACCAAAATTGTTAAATTTACACTAAGTTACCACTGTAGCTTTCTTTATTTTCTAAGAACATGTTCCTAATATGCAGTAAAAATGAAATTAAAAATAATTGTCCGGCATTTTGAATTACTAATACTTCATTTTTATAAAACTAGTATTATCGGGGAAGGTTTTATGAAAATGTTGCACATGTCTCACCTCTTTTCCATCCTTTGTAAGTACGACATCAAATGAGGGCAATGGTGGAACAGTTGACGCACTCCACACTACATGCAGGTAGGGGCATGAGAGTTGCACCTCAACTGCATCTACTCTCCTGACTTCCGGTTTCATGTAACTAACTGAAACGGCAGAAGTCATTTGGTGATACCCTTGAACATTTACTTATTTTTCTCCACTGTTTTATTGCAAAAATTGTGATACTTCAAACTTCAAAGCATAACGTCAATAAAGCTAAAGGTTACAATGTACTAACTATACTGGCTAAAATCATTTATGTCAACAACATAAGGTTGTTGGGCATAACTCCCCAACTTATACAAATGGCAGACGTAGACGTCTTATGTTATTTATATGTTATTTTTAGCTTAATTACTGTGAATGTAGCCTATATTCATGCACAATATTAGAAACTTATGATATGCTGCGCAGAAACTAAATATTGTATTATGCTCACCCTCAGGACGACCCAGATGGAAAGACTCTCCCACTTGGAAGTTCTCAAACATTGACCCATCGAAACAGTCAACCGCATGCTGCTTCAGTACACAATGGTAATCTCCGAAATCTTCAATGCCATTGATAGATAATTTAAAGGACGATTTGAATATGTAGCCATCTGCTACGACTGAGCTGGTTGAAGCGACCTGGAGGAAGATTGTTGTCGATAAACCTTTTTTTATACGTCTGCCATGAAGGTTACCATAATGACCATTCATTGTGTTCCTATTGACACTACTCATAAGAATGTCAATGTGATTATCTACCTATGTCTGCTTAATTACTCACTTATACACTATGTATGGAAGTTCCATAGAAGTGTAACATTTTAAGTATTATAAGTGTACCAGGTTTAAGGCTCTTTGGCTCCCGGGTCCCACAGAGATCCTTGTTAACTGCAATATTTCATTATAAGTAGCATATAAGTAGCATATGAGTCGTCATTTTCAACTTACCATCTTGTTGTCTTTCAACAGCATCATTTCACACAAGCCCGTATCACATGTGCAGCAACCAAAGCAAGTAACATGGCATGTCACTGCGGTTTTGCACTTATTGTTCAGCTTGGGGTATAATGCACTAGGCCAAGTAGGATCATCGGGGCCTGGAAGGCAACAATTGCATAATTGATTAAAAACTTATAATATATGAGTGGTGAATAACTGAAATTTCATAATTATCTGCCCATTGTATATGAGGTAGTTATTTTTCTTGAGTATTGTAATTTGTAACCAGTTGTCAGATAAAACCATCGTTAGGTCGTTCTGTCCTTATGTCTCCTTCATTACGACATATACACAACAAGGCCACTTCCACAAGGCGTGGATGAGATGATTCACAAATATCGAATGACGATACCATTTTCTACTCACCTTTTAGAGTGAATGAGTCGATACTGTAAGTATGTGCCTTTTTATCCATCTTCAAATCTGCATCATTGTTGATGACAAGTTTACAGTTGTACACACCATAGTCTGACTTTTCAACGTTGCGAATTGACAAGATAGAGATGAAATGCGACGTGCTCTTGGGAAAGCTGGGACAGCTGGGAAAGCATAAATGGCTTATGTTGTCTGGAACATTCACAACGTCCTCAGTAATCGTAATGCGACCATCTGACGTGTTTGACACCTGTAAATAGAAATGGAGCATTATTTATTATTTTTTATTTAATATTAGGACTGATTCCCATGAATGAAGTAGTGGCTTGGCATTAAGGTTTGCCTGACTATCAAGTAAACTGACATATATGCACGATGCTCACTGCTCTGACAGAATCACTAAATATTGACTCATGGGAACTGTAGGATGTTCTGGATGCAAAAATAAAGCATGGGAAATCTTCAGTTATCACTTATGATTGAAGAAACCTCTTAAAAAATATTGCACTTACCTGCTCGTTGTCTTTGAACCATAAAATTTTCAACCCAAGGTGATCTAACAGTAACTGAGGATAATGGCATCTCAAGTTCTGGTTCTGACCAAGGAGTGAAATTGTACTTGGGAGTACATACTTTGTAGGACGAGGGGATGACCCTGAAATGTAAAACAAACAAGTTAAAGATTTTTATATATCTATATGTATCTATATCTATTTATATCTATCTAGCTATATCTATCTATTTATATCTACCTATCTATCTATATAGCGTGTGGGTGCTGACAGCCAACATTTTACTTCCCCTTTTAAGCACCTCCCTCCCCCATCCGAAACCAAACATTTGATTGCCAATATTTCTGATATATTACCAGGATTGTTTCGAACCATATCATATCCAAAGATAGAGCTAATGATCATAAAGTATGTGGTACAACAGAGTCTAAACTATTCTTTTATAATCCAAGTTACTTGGATTATAAAAGAATATCTCAGACTCTGTTAGTTGACAGCAGACTATGTATCAAGATTACGATCATACAAACTTTTAGTCAGGCAAGTTTAACAGATTAACGTGGGTTGTTCACTAGTTGTAACATGAGGTTAACTTACCGTCCTTCGCAGGTGGACAGATTCCCAGTCGGACTGACCCCGCGCCAGTCCACAGCAGTATAATTGTACAGAGAACTCGGCACATTGTACCGCATATCCCGGCCATGTTGTACCTTGTAACTAAGCGTGAATAACTTCCTCGTTGAGGACAAACCTAGCTATTTAATGGCACTGGTACCTGCCCCATGAGGTATCCCCTTTCCTCCTCTTTACAGTGGTGAATTAATCAAACAAAATCCCTCAAACATAAGAATATCAAGCATCGTACAACAGCGATACATTCACACTTTAACAATAAAATGGCGCTCTGTTGCTGAATTTTCAAATATAGAAATCATCGTAAGGGGTGTAAACGGTAAGCATAACAGCAAGCGACACGCGTCATCTCTGGAAAATCACCGGTATGCATCACAGACAGGTACAAATAGACTTTTGTTTGTTGGGGACATAAAAGCAGACAGGTTTTAAGGCAAGGCCCGCTTGTGGTGCGTAAACGCCGCCAATGGCCATTATTCTCCGTTGTGTCCAGAACGGTACTTTATCCAAAACCGTGTCTGAGAGCAAATCTATGTTCTTGAATACACGGAGACTATCCAGAACCGTGCCGGATCCTATAAATAGCTAGCACAAATAAACCAATTCAGGCGTAGAACTAGACATATAGGCACGGTTCTGGTTATAATAATGATAATTGAACTGTGCTGTCATCGATTTATTTCTGATTTAACATCTAAGGCATCCTCGATTTGTGATTGAGTTGTATGTGGGTCAAGCTTGTACATGTAGCTTACTACGATAAAACTAGAGCGAAGGTGTTCTAATAGTGTAACTTTAGCGATACCTGCAATCCCTGTTATAACCTGACCACCCCTAGCGATGAATAGATCATTCCATCCGTCATCGACACATGAGATGATATGACATGAGACGGGTGGCTGTGAAAGGGTTTATTGGGTTTCGTGTTCCCCTTCTTTTAAATACTATATAAAACTACCACGTTAAGACGAAGATATAACTACATATACATGAAGTGCAAATTAAATGGCCAATCAAAAATTTGACCAGAATTATTCTTAAGCAGCTCTATTAACAGACTATCAGTGTTCCTCAAACCCACATACAGAGCCTTCTTACAGCTGACGGTCGCGAAGGCAACCGCGCGACGCTCTACTCTACCCGAGTGGAGGGGCCGGTGTACCGAATAAGACCTGTCACACTTCCTTTCCTCTGGCCATAAAAAAAGTTCCTCCCTCTTTCATTCCTTCTCATCATCACTTTGAGTCCTACCTGTATATGTAGTTAAGGTACTACAGAGAGGAACTCTTTACAACAAAGCCTAAAGGTGTTAAGGTAAGTTTATTTCTCATTTCTCTTGACCAGTGAACCTAGATATCATGTTGTTGGCGAAACAGTGTCGGATTTAAGCGTTGTTTATCTTAGTACATACTAGAACCAAATAAGATTAAGCATGATACGTGTACGATACAGAACCAAGCCATAACATGTTAACTGTCGGCTTTTTCTAATCAGTATGGAGAATGTCCTGCTGTGGTGGAGTCACTTAAGATATCTTTAGACCGACCGGCTTCCTAACATTCTCAATCCACTACCCCGTGGCAATGGACCTTTCCTAGCAAGCTTTTGTAGGTGAAGTAGCAAGTCCAAACGTACTATTCGTCAAAAAGTATATTTTTGAAAAAATGAAAAGAATAAAATTTACATTTGTACAATGCTAAGTCATCCTCTTCTACCACGTTTATGTCAAACAACATCTAATGCTCAAGTTATAACCATTACCATACTTGCTATACGATTCCTATTTTTGAACTGTTGAACTGTTCATATATACCGTTCTTGACTATATAAGACATTAAGATCTCAACATGGAGAAAGCAACATGCGCTCATATGTATGTCGGTACAACCTCCTTGACGTTACTAAGACCCGGAGAGCTTTAGAAAACCAAAGGGCAGGGAGTGAAAGTACATTGACCACCACTTGACCATTCGATCCCATTCAGTCCGTTTGTATCAAATGCTTGGTAACACTTCTTCCCTTCACGGGCCACGGAGGCCCAAAAGGCACTCCAGATTTGCTGGCTGTTTGAGAGCCCCCTTTTATTCCCGTCGCCATGTTACAAGTGGCTAACACTATATGATAATGTACAACTCAAATACTCTCCAAGCAGAGGCTGTTGGGGCAAATTGTCACCTTTTCATCATATGCCTAATATAATCTCCAAGCAGATTTCTTCGGGGCCAACTGGTTAAAGGCTTACCAACTATAGCATCTTGCTCCCGAAGAAATCTTCTTAGAGATGATCTTATACCCAGTTTTCGTGGGGAGGGCGTGCAAAAAATGCATATGGTGGTCAGAATTCCCCTCAGAGTTTCCACTCTGGATAGTACAACTCAAACTCAAGATCTCTTCATGAACTTGCTTACCACAATGTTATTTGTGAAAAGCAGTCCTTGTATATTATGAATTGCTTTATAATTGAGTGTGTAAAATGACAAATTCAAGAGGGTCTTGTTTTGTTACCTCATCGATAAGAGTGCCACAAAGGGGCGAGGTGCGGTGATTACAATAATTACCTGATATTGTTATTATAACAATGCTTTTCTATGGTAGGCAGATTGGGAATTGTAAAGCTTCTAAAGAATATTTTCACACTTGTTTTTCTAGGATCTGTTTTGCTGTATAAACTAAACTGGTCGCCGTGGTCGTTCTACAAATAGACCGATGCCGTCCAGACCACTTGTCAATCCTTAGACACAACTAATATTTTCCTAGCGTGTCGCAAACACTCCTTCCCTCCCTCGACCGTCAGATTAGCCCCATTATAAGACAACATTCTTTTTGTGAAGCCTGTCAACGGCACGAATCTGAAAAGAAATTCCCCAGCCCACTCAACCCCTGAACCATTGTTTTGTAATTGGTCGCTAAATTATTTATTTACCCGCTTGAATACGCTGCAAAAATACAACCTGTTTTGCCAATACCTATAGCGTGGTGCCCGTAGAAAGGGATCCGTTGTCCTTAGTAACTATAGCCCAGCCATTATTTGTACAGGGGGTATACACCTGTCAGGGATCGTCTCAACATACCTGTCCTTCTCAAACGTTATTTGCTTACCCTTAAAATCACCGTGGCTTGAGTTTCATTTAGAGCAAGGTTTTGGAAATGAAGGTGTACAGAAACCTGTTTCATTCCAAGTTGTTGAGATTTTGTACCTTGCGTCTTCTACAAACTGTAAAAATATAACGAAAAGGGAAGAAATTGACTATGAAACGCCCCCGGTTACTGTGCCTGTGGCTATACGTCTTGAATGTCGGGTAAGTGCACCACTGGCAACAGCACAGGGACAATAGAGAACCCCGGCGACCAATCAGAAGAAAGCGTCGCGCGTTGCCAATGGTTACCCTCGTGTGTTGGGCGAGCCGGTCCAACATGGCAGACACCTGTGTATGAAAAACGACTCGCGGGGCTGAGAACTCGCTGTTTTCGTGATGTAGCCGTTTCTCACTGGAATCTTTCTCTTATTCCACCTACGAAAACAAGGCTCAACCAAGATGGCTGCCACACAGGCCTTACCGCTGTCGCACTACTACAAGGAGACGCAGGGCATGGACTACCTCGGTGGGAGCTTCAAGTCGTCGGAGCTGTTCAACCCTCTCCAGAGCCCACAGCGCCCAACCGTAAACGAAGTCAGGTAAGCGGTTGATCCACTTACTCGAGGTGTAAAGGAGGATTTCTTCTCGTTAACATGAGCCGACATACCCTCGTGATTTCTTCACTATTTGCTCAGTCGTGACCGTACATAGCGTCTGTGGTCAAAAGTCATTTGTGGCCGTAGGGTTAAAACTACACAATGCTAGACCCATATAAATTCGGCCTGTAACTACGAAATACATAATTCAGGTCGACAAGACTAGACTAGTATTTCTTCTGACTTTTAAGGTACAGGTATTGGTATGGCAAAACTGTCATGTTTTTTATTTGCTTTTAACGTATTACACTTCGGGTACGCCTTGCTGAGTAAACATATCTGTGAAAAGGCTCAACAAATTGTTCGCTATTTAATGTAACCCAATGTGTTTGTTAATTTATAAAACCACCCACGTTTGCAGTCAAAGAATCATTTATTTCAAGGATCTTGAACCAGTATGGGTTCAATATTTAATCAGAAAGCTACGACTATTTGGGACTGAATACGATATTAAGGTGTGAACATTTTAACACGTAAGGATTCTTTGGAACCCCTAAGGTTTCTTTCGAGCCCCTAAGGTTTCTTTCCAACCCCTAAGGATTCTTTGGAATCCCCAAGGATTCTTTCGAACCCATAAGGGTTCTTTTCTGTATAAACGTAGACAGGAAATTGGTCCACGAAGGAACTGTACATTCATATCCAAGCCTAGGAAGAGAACCCAAATACCATAGCTACACGGCAACGTCAGAAGTATTTATTGGCACAGTGTGTGGGTATATAGTGCAGTCAAATGTATCCTCGCCTTAGCCAAATGTTCTCCAACTATATCCCTTATCTAGTGCGTGTTGACAGTACGCCCAGTGTATTGCCTTAATAGCTCTTCCCGTCCTTATTGAGCCCAGTTCTCCCTGTAACAACTTAGGGAGTAATTAATACAGGTCTGAAATGCTTCTTGGTGATAAATAGAGTTTTAATGGCACTGTAATACTGGATGTAATCTCCCACGACCCCACCAAGTGTTTACCTCCACCATTAGTCAATAGTTCTATTAAACACACAGCCACTTGACCCGATTCGATCTGTCCTCTTATATACGCATTTACGGGCAATTTTATTCGCGTTCATATTTCCTGAAATGCCTGAAGCTGTGTTTGCACATTCATGGACGCAGTTTTCTCGGATTTGTTTGATTTGCTATCGCCGCAGCTACGTACATATCAATCACATATACGTCATACTACATGCGTCATCAGCATAGCTGGAACTGTACAGCGGAAACAGGACTTAACGCACATTTTAACACGAATGATACCAATTTCCATACCGTACATACCTGCCGCCATGACTGTGTATACATGTCAACACTGGCGGTGACCTTTGCCATTTTCTGTCGGCCATTATAGAACATCTGACCCAAATCTATTGTAGTGTATTTAGGATCGGTCCACTTGAAAAATAGCAGAGGGGTGCGGTGTGTTATCTTTCTTTTCTTATAACAGGAAGGGGAGTGTGGTTTAAACAAACATATTGGAATTTGAAATAGAATGAAAGGTTAACAAAATATATACATTGTAACATTAGAGAAATGAGACAACTGAAACACTAATAACTATGCAAACGTCCTGTGTTGTGGGACGATTCTTATCAAGAAAACTGCCTCAGGTGATGTGATTTCTCAGTAGTACTGGTTGGGTTATTTTTCAAGTAATCATGACGATACGTGAAGCATTTCACCACCCTAATGCCAACGATAGCTATGTTTAAGAAATAGCGTTAGTTACTTTAGGTGTATTCTATTTTTTCATCATTTCCAATGTACTTACAATGAGCCCACTGGCATGACTTTTCAATACCGCTATTATTATTTTCCCACTAGATTTGAGGGTGTTTTTTTTATAAAACTACGATATATATCATATATTATATGGTGTTATGTGAAACATACATCTCAAAGGCTTGCATTTTCCTAACACCCTCATCATGACTATATAATCACATGAATATAACATAATTTCTAAACCATTTTTATCCTTATTTTCCCCGTAGTTTTGAGAAGTACCGAGCGCTTGTTGAGAAGAACACGAAGGCGCCCTGGGGCCGCGGGAAGCTGGAGTATGGCGGGGAGAGGCCGGTACAGCTGCCGGACGAGTACAGGCCGAAGGGCGAGCCGCCCACCGTGGTGCAAAAAACACACAGGCACTACGGCAGTGGAGCGGACGGGTTTCCACGGTATGTGTATATAGATAGTGTGTAAATTGTAGTACAGATAGACATTCGCTCATAGCTATGGGACTGATCGAGTGAGGGTGAGTGAGTGAGTGAGTGAGTGAGTGAGTGAGTGAGTGAGTGAGTGAGTGAGTGAGTGAGTGAGTGAGTGAGTGAGTGAGTGAGTGAGTGAGTGAGTGAGTGGGTGGGTGAGTGAGTGAGTGAGTGAGTGAGTGAGTGAGTGAGTGAGTGAGAGAGAGTACAGTAATACAAAAGATATTAACATAGGTATACGAATGTGCAGACAAACTTAAGATATGTAAGATTATCATGTGGCCTTATAGTCTTAAGAAAATAATTACTAGAATATGCCTCCACACTACCGACTTGTTTCTACTGTGTGCAAACCATTGATATGTAAGATATATTAGGTTATTTGATAAGAAAATAGCAAATACAAGTTCGTAACCTGTAACGTTGGCTCAAGGCCTAAGATTACAAACTAAATGGTTTTCTAACAGCGATCTGTTGGTAGACAAACTGCACACAGGGCGTGCCTAATCGGTCCCGAGCCGCCATGTTGTTTATGGTTACCATGCCAACCGAGAACGTAACGAATGAACTTTGCTCACCTGAGGTCACCTAATGGGAAACCAACAGAGTGATTCTGTGCAGTGTACCACTGACTCGTCATTCGTTTTAATGGTGGTTCAACAGAATCTGTGCAGTGTACATGCGGTGAACCTCATACCTGCAATTTATTTCGACAGTAGTAGTCGCTTTTCTGGAGTGAATATGTGGAGAACCTCTGACTTACTATTCATTTAAATTGTGGATTGAACCTCTTTGCTCCAATCTCATTGAAATTGCTTCAATCTGATTAAAACTCATAGATTCAGATTGAAATTCATAGCTTCAATCTGATTGAAAATCGTTGCTTCAATCTGATTAAAACCATTGCTTCAATCTGATTGAAAATCGTTACTTCAATCTGATTAAAACCATTGCTTCAATCTGATTGAAAATCGTTACTTCAATCTGATTGAAAATCATAGCTTCAATCTGATTGAAAATCATAGCTTCAATCTGATTAAAAACCAATGCTTCAATCTGTTTGAAATGGCTTCAATCTGATTGAAAATCATTGCTTCAATCTGATTAAAATCATTGCTTCAATCTGATTGAAATCATTGCTTCAATCTGATTGAAAATCATTGCTTCAATCTGATTAAAAACCAATGCTTCAATCTGATTAAAATCATTGCTTCAATCTGATTGAAAATCGTTGCTTTAATCTGATTGAAAATCATTACTTCAATCTGATTGAACCTTCTTGCTTTAACCATACGTATTCGAGTCGGCTGTAGATCTAAACAAAAAAACTTTGTTGTTCTTCACAGAGGTGTACCGATACAGCAGTACTACGACTTGACTCAGTTGAAGAGGAGTAACGTGCGATGGAACGACCAACTGTAAGTTTATTAATTACCTCCGTCTAACGTTATGAATTGTGTCTGGTATGAAAGCCAACCTTGTGGGCATTTGACAGATTCGTCGGGATACATTAGTTGTATGTCAAACTATGAGATGCAGCTAGATCATATTAAAGTTCATGTTATTTTGGAATCGTTGTAATATATACGGAAGGTAGTTGCGATAGGTACTTATTGAGAAGGATAAAAGTATATTCTCTGTTATTCCAGGTTAACCAACCCGCAGAAGAGCAACATGGAGTAAGTATGGATCTCAGTTTTCTCTTATACCGCCTGACAGCACGGCCAGTTATATCACTGACTTCTACATTGAAGTAAATACTAGTACATCTTTTGAATTGGCACAAGAAAAAATCTCTGTCAACTTTTCATGAACCAAGAGGGGAATGGATGGTCTGCGTCTCAAGTTCGGGGGCCGCTTTCATGCCATTACGAACGCTATATTGTCGTAAGATGCCGCAGTGTTTGATGCGCCTTAATTATGCAAGCAAAAATCATTTAAGCTTTAGGCATGAACTTAATTCCTCCTTGTGTTCCAGGACTGTGATGGTCGACCTGCCGTTCCCTGCGGAACACCCCTACGCGTCGCACATCCCCCGGTACGCGGTCATCCCGAAGTTCGACTCTCCGGACGACCCGAAGCGCGGCGTGCGCGCCCGGAGGGACCAGCCTCTGCACCATGAGACGCCCGCCACGCCGCACAACGTACGCATCAACAGCAAGAGCAGAGGTAAAGCGGAGTTGCTACTAGTGTAACAATACACTGTGCTAAGGCTACAGAAAAAGCTAAAGCCAAAGCTCTGTTATGTAAAGCAGTGTCTTACACTGAGACGGGCCACGCCGCATAACGTACGCATCAACATCAAGAGCAGAGGTGAAAGGCAATACACTGTGCTAAACCTATAAACTACACAATACAGTGAACAAAATATTACAATAGCACATCAAAAGTTTTAATATTGACAGACGAAATAACAGTTGGTAAGAAAACATACGCACCTTGTAGACCCAGTATGGTCTTTTTGGTGGCTCAAAAACAGTACAAATTGGCAAGACAGTGTCATTGCGGCAGGACAGTATCCCACAAGCCACCTGAAGGCGAAAACATATACCAATATGAAAAAGAAAGCCCGATTAATAAAAGCGCCTAAAATGTCCAAAATAATCCGAAGCCCAAAACGTTGCTTGGAGTTTACATAAATATTGAATATGGTTATTCTAACATAGTACACGTACCTTTTGCAGGAGGTCCGTATCGCTGGGAGACGCAGGACCTGCCTTCGGAGGGCCACAAACGGGCGCTAACCTGGCCAGGAGACGATTTCTACCACGTAAGAACGATATTCGCTATTATGATAAAGGGCTAGTCCGTTAAGGACTAGCATCAATCAAAAAGTTCTAGTATGTTGGGTGTATTACAACCTGTTGTGGACAGATAACTCTCTAAAATTGATTTTCAACTGTACATCAAAGGCAGAAATTTGGTGCTAGAAATTAAAGCTTTGTATATATTGGTCTTTAAATGAGTTATTTCAGTAGACGTATGTACCTTACATACCGTACATACTACACTTTTGTCAATGTTAGAGAAAAACTCTGGTCTCGAAGGGACTGCTCTAGTGTCCACCATGAGGGACAAGGAGTACTGGAGTGACTTCATCAAGCGTATCTCATCAGATTAAAATCCGGAGGCATGATGATGATGATGATAATGATATTTTATATATAATATGGCATGTGAATATCGGTTACCTGTAGTTGGTGAAGTATCCGCCAGACGGCGGTCGTCAGCAGTACTACCCCATCCCGCCCAAGCTGGTGCTGCCGAACCTGACGGAGCGGCCTCTGGAGAAGACCCTGGATCCGCGCACCGCCACTGCCCTGAGGAACGTGGAGAAGTCACAATGGCAGACCACGTACAAACGGAACTTCACAGGTGTGTACGAGGGCTGTACAATGTTTAGACTTGATTATTTAGTACGTTTATTTAGTACGTATTTTTATTTGTGGGTGTAAAATGTGTTAAGCCCAAAAAGTTGTGTTAATTGTATTTTTGTACATTAGTTTATTTTTTTTAGGACGCAGAGCTAATATGTAATAGAGTTCTGGTAAATGAATCATTGTTTGTTTGCAATCTTTAGCACGCTTTTCCAAGACAATTTCTTTTTGGTAGCAAATAAATGGGATAAATAACCAAGCCTCAATGTTTATTGACGCTGGTTTATTTGGGCAAGCTTCTAGTTCTTGAACTAATAACAACGTTGAATTTTGCTTTACACTTTCTAGCCATGGCGACTCTTGAATCGGGCGGTTTTTGTTGGTGAGGACATATATAAGACTACCAGGAAAAACGCCCGATTCCAGATCTCAGTCGCCACGGCTATGCACTTTTCAACTTGTTGGAATTATTATATCACTGCCATCCCTGTAATTTACGTAACTTGTTTCACGAATACATGCTACGTACATTTCATCAAAATCATTCTTCAGTAGCGGCATTCATTTACATTTCATATTCATATTTTTAAAAAGCCTGAAGGATTCCTGCCCTTCAATCCTGAATCTGGGCTTTTTCCATCATGACATCAATGATGATTCTCTGTATTTAAATCCATTAATTTCTATCAACGACAGGTTACGGACCGAGTAACGAGCTTCACCTCGACAACTACCACGAGAACATGGTGAAGAGCATGGTGCAAGGGAAGGAGGTGGACGATCTGGTGAGTAAATCAACAATTACTTGCTGAGATTGCAGTTGGTGTCAATAATATACACATTAATTTCATCAAAGCTATGGCCAGTTTAAAAAAAAATCTACATAACCTTATATTGACATCTTACATCATGTAAACGAATCTAAATCATATTGAGCGATCCCATGACATTTATATGGTGAAAAAAGAAGAAGAGCTCTGGCACATACAGATTTGTACGGGCGAAGATGTAGTGAGGAAATGTAGAAACAGAGACTAACACTGTACTAAGATGGTAGCCAGAACACGGGCGTCGTTTGGACAATTACAAGAACACCACTGGCACGTTCTTGGATTCAACCTTCAACGACTTACTCAGAGGGCAAGGTCTTCGGCTTGTGGGAAATTCATCGGTGTTCCCTCCTTCCAACTAACGCATTTGTGACAGTACTGGTGGTCACTTGTCTAAACTAACGCGTGGTGCCACGTTGTAGTACGCACCGGTTAAGGGTCCTTTGAAAGCTTCCCTTGGTCTCTGAGTAGTTCTCACTCTGCTAGTGTGAGGCTTATTCGGAAACTAACTTCCCAGATCGGTACACACATTTGCTTCAAGTACAACTAACAAAGGACGAACTTTATCATGTTGTGTATGTGTTGAACAGCATTTTAACACTCAGTTTTCCTTCCCGTGGTGTTTCTTGGTGCCTGCTTTATTCCTCTCAGTTTCTCTTACGACAATGAGACAAAAATGACCATGAAGATCCCAAGACAGTACTCCTACCTATCGGGCACCTATTAACACTACTCAGGGTAACTGTTGTGTTTTCTGTGTGTGACTCTGTGTGACTAACCCGCCTTCCTTCATCCTCACCAGAAACCCGCCACCGTGCCCGTGTTCTTCCCACCTCGCCCGCTAGAGGGCCGGATCTCGCGGGAAATCGGACCTGCCGTCCGCCTGAAGCACAAACTGGAGCCCGCGCCGGGGACGGGATCGGGTGAGGGCGATGAGGAGAACCAGCAAGTCGAGCGGCAGTACCTCAACTACCCGCAGTACCCTCCCGGCGATCCGAGAAACGAGGAAGAGTGGAGAATCGTTGAGGATCAGAGCAACCCTGACCACAACCTGCAGCTGGTTGAACATCAGCAGCGACTGACAACTCCGATACCGCACCAGACGGCCTCAGTAGCGCAGCCACCGGAGAAACCCTCTCCGTACTCGAAAGGACTGAAGGAGACGCTGGAGGGAGAGTTTCGGGAGCTGGAGAAGACCAACAGGTACACTCTGCTGTCGACGCAAACGCCGCAACACGACATCGTGGCGTCGCACCACAAGTCTGAGCTCGTGAACACGGCCACCAAACCGAAGGTGTTCGTGGAACACCACACGGGCATGTACAGGGACAGAGACCCGTACATTCACTCCGTACAAGAGAAAGTCAGCGACGCCTTGGTAGGCGACTACGCTACCAAGATATCTGACATGGGAAAGGTAGCGACTCTTCACGATAGACAGTTAACACCGGGGTACGGAGAAATCGTCGCGTCCAGAGGGTCTGGTCCACTCGACTTACCAGAGCCAGAGAAGCCCTCCTTAGCGAGTTACACTGTAAGGCAGAACCCGTACAGCCTGAGCGATCCCATGACGAAAAAGCCTGATATGACACCTCGGCACGAGAAAATGTCTAAAGCCTCCAGCCTCCCGCCAGGCGCCAAGCTAACAGGTCCCTACTACGATGAGCCCAACCGACTCAACGAAACGTCCCACTCCAGGCGGACAAGCGAGTACGTAGACCGCTTCAGCTCCCTTCAACCGCAGGCCTCATTTGGCAGCCCCAAACCACATCTCTCCTACGACAAACCCGTAACGGCCCAGTCTGATCCTACACCTTACACGGAAAGGAACAATGTTCTCTACGATCCACGGTTAGAAGCTGAGTTCTCCCGACTGACGTGGCGACCGGGTACGGGCACCCCGCGACCGCAGACGTCACTCCTCAAGATACAGGACTCTTTCTCAAAGACTGACGCTCACAAGAAGTTTCACCAGAGCTTCGAAGACAAGCAAGTGGACCTCAGAGATAACTCGCCCATAGGGAAGAGCAACAAGCACTATTTCAGTGGTTTCAATGCTTACTACTGGCATAACTAATAGGGAACTTTGCATGATCTGAAGTGAAAATACTAGCTATGAGTGAAAACATGCATTTAAGGTAGCCTCTACCAGGCTTCAGAGTCGACATTTGGCCCAATAGACTGATAACATGCCAGGGGAGTTGGTCTGCTAAAGGAGTACAGTTGGGTAGAAAACCGTACTTCTTCAGCAGACTAACTCCCCTGGCATGTTATCTGTCTATTTGGTCAATTTCTACTCTTTCAAGCCGCCTCTGAAGCCTGGTACATTATAGGTACTTTTGTATGAAAAATGCACAAAGATGTTTTAAATCTCTCATGCACAATTTACTCAAGTCAGTCTATTGTTTAGATAGATGTTACAATTACATCAGTGATGGAGTATTGTTTATATATTGACTGTAATTAATAGATTTATAGGTAGGAATGCCTAAAGCTGCTAAATCAAACATCGTGTTTATATGTACATATCTGGATATACTGTTTTATTTCAGAGTATCAATTTAAAGAAAGGCTTTTATCTAGATAGCATATAACCTAATTTTACAACAGTAAGGACCAAAGAGGCAAATGTTTATGTTTGCATAAAGTTGTAAAAAGTGGTGACATTTATCAGATATTCTATCTAATTTAATGCATGATCATAATAATTTTCTAAAAGTGAAGCCTTTTCTGAGATGTTCTTCTCTCTGATCTGGCATATTTTAACAGGAAAATCATTTCTGTCAAATTTTTGACAAGTTCATTTTAATTATCATGCATTTGGTTATGTGAGACTGCATTTTTGCCAACAGGAGAAATGAGCTCAGTCAGATTTTAGCCAAGAGATATTAAGCCTCTACCAGGCTTTTGAAGCAGCTGGAAAGAGTAGAAATTAGCGAAAGAGACAGATAATATTCCAGGGGACCTGGTCCGCTAAAAGTTTACCACTTCTGTTTGTACTCCTTTAGCAGACCAACTCCCCTGGCATGTTATCTGCCTATTCTACTCTTTCTAGCTCCTTCAAAAGCCTGGTACATGGTAGAGGCTACAAGATTTGCAATTTTTAAAAGTTATAAGACAATTCAAATTTCATCCATCACTATACAAATGTGAGCAAGTCAGAGGGAAGAACATGTCTCTCCATTTTGCTGTCTGCAAAACAATGAAACTGTTTCTTCCCGCTTGACTCGATCCCCTACAGAAGAAACAACAACCAAAGAAGCCCCGCGTGCACTGTGTCCGAGAGCTACAGGATGCCTACTCCAAGGCAGGCGCGATAACCAGCTTTTGGAAGAGTAACCCCAACCCTGTGCCCAGACTAGGGGTTTCTCCTGCTAACAGGAGGCACAGGCCTGGCTTACTATCCTACTACCAGGGGAACACCTTTAAACGCTGAGGTGTGGTCCTCTGGTAGCCTCTACCAGGCTTCAGAGGCAGCTCTGGTAGCCTCTACCAGGCTTCAGAAGAGACTGGAAATAGTAAAAACTGGCCAAATAGACAGACAACATGCCAGGGAAGCTTAGCAAGTCCACTAAAGGGGTACAGTAACTTCTACAGATTGTATTCCTTTAGGAGACTAACACCCCTGGCATGTTATCTGTCTACTTGGCCAAATTCTACTCTTTCCAGTCTCCACAATGCTGGCAATGCCTAATGGTAGTAGATTTCTACTGTGGAGTGTGCTTCTTTAACTACATTGTACCTGCTTCGAATATGGTGTCACTTCTTCATAGGTTTTTTCAAGTTTGGTATGTTGTTTCTACGTCACCTTCAATTGTGTTGTTTCAATGCACTTTACATTCACTCAACTGCAGTTGTACCATATATTTTCTTTTTTATGTATCAAAGTCTGCATCGAAGAATAAGAGACTGACAAGCCATGTGATTATAATGTCTGTCGGTTCACAGAAGTATTAGTAACAGTGTTCCAAACATCTATCTGCGTGATGCTGCTATATGAGATGGATTTTGTACACCTTGATTTGTTTGAAAAAATATTTACACCTTCAAGCCAACTTATGTATGTATGTGCTTGCGTTGTCTTTGTGTGGGGTATTGAGTTTTAGAGTACATCTCAATATAGCTTAATATACGAGGGCCTGCAAGCCCTTTTTCGTAAGGCGTAATCAGGCTGTTTTAGACTTTGTAATCCGTAGGCAGCCTCCCCAAAAATCAACGTAATTCGTAATTGGACATTAGCCGCAAATCCTAAAGTCGTAATCAGCTCTGAGACTTTAACGTAATTCGTAATAGGCGGCAAAAATTTTGCGTATTTCGTAATCACTACCCCCCCTTGCAGGCCCTCATATATAGACATGATTGACCAATCCGAAGTCCCCCATTTGATATTGATTATGAGTTTTTTTAACCATTTGCAAGCCAAGAAATGTCTGGTTATGATTAAAAAATCCAGCATTACCAACAAATAGAAAATACTACTGATATGTATTTTGAAAATTTTAATGAGTTCTTCTCAAACTTTATTACACAATTTTTGTTACATCAACAAGAGAACAACAAAATGAATTGCAATCAACCACATCCACAACATACAAAAAATGTATTATATAAACTCTCATATCAAACTTCCTATCAAGTCCCTTACATATACTGAAAAGATTTATCTAAATATATATTTATTTTAAACCTACTAACCTTATGCACATATTTCTCTTATGGTTTACAACTTAAATGAAATCATAGTAATCCACATATAAATTTCTTCATTTTTATCTACTCGAATGCACAAATATTTCATTTACGTTTTTATTAATATCACTAGCTATCAAAACCTACAAATCTAAATTTAGACTTTTACATGAATCTTCTTTTACCAATAACACATTCATACATATCACAGATAGATTTTTTATTTGCCTTATCCTTTATTCAAACCACAGCACTTATTTAGATAAGTTATATATTACTTTAGCAACACGTACATATAACTAATTTCTTGCTGTTTAAAATGCCACAGTCTCTTAAGTCTCCACTTGTAGTAAGCTTAATATCTGTTAATCAGAATATATGAAGAATCAATAAGACAGATCTTGGGTAAGAGATGAAGCCATCTAATATGTAGATATTGTCCTTATTATCAGTCACAACGGAAGGACATCTAGAGTGCTACCATCATCTCACGAGATGGAAGGATGCCTACTATACTATATCAGTCATCTACTGTTGTTGAGAATGTGGTCATAAAAGCCCCATATTCCGTATTTCGTACCCATCACTGTTCTGAAAAACACAAAGAAAACAAAAAAAGCATCAACTGAATGCAAAACAACAAAGGTATAATTTTTGTGGTGAATGTCATAAGTTTCTTTGTGTGCTGCATTTACATGCAAAAGCAATACAAAATGCGTGCTGCAGTACCACCTAAGTACAAAAGAGGGCACTTTTATCTTTAAACTAGTAGCAAAGAAGCCATGGATGGGATATGAACATGATGGGTTGATGTTAACATTTAGCTGCAATGATGTGGTAGACTTTACAGCTACAGTAAAGAAATACTACAATGTTGCGAAGGCTAATGTGCAGTTTGCAGTCCCAAAACTGCAGACACAACAAGACATGACCCTTGAAATGTGTCACGGATACAGTCTCATCCTGCTGCAGCTTTTGAAATTATTCCAAAACATCAAACGCACACTCAACTGTAAATGTTAGATCTGCCAGATTAGTGTTATAATAACTTATTTACAGCTATTATGTGCATTCAAACAATGTAGGACTTTCGACATGTACATACATGTAGACCTGCCTAACATACACTGTATTAACAAGGCTGAAAATGCATTTATCTATTTAGCAAAAAAAAGCCTTATTATGTATTTATGGGATATGATAGATGATGTATAACGGTATATGAACATGGATTGACAGTAACTTCAGTAGCTAAGTCTTAGTAGCTGTCTTCCACATCATCCACTAAGAGAAATTCCCCAAGTTCAATCCTTATTTTTAAGCCCCTGCTGTAAAGAACAATGGCCCATTGATCCTACAGGTGTTGAACAGAAGGTAGACCTCTGGGAACCCTGTAACAATGGAGGTCTCCAGGCTTGACAAGGGGCAGCGATTGTTTCCGTTTCTTTTCATGCTCCCTTTCAGAGAAGGAATTTTCTTAGGCTCAACTGCTCTGAATACACTAGGCCGGGGATTAGGGTTGGCCTTTGTTTTGGTGTTAGGCTAACTCCCTCCCGCAGGAGGGTCAAGAGATGTGGGAACAATCCCCAGGGGTGAAGGGTCAAGGTCCAGTCTAGGGCAAGTGGACTGGCCCACTTAGATTTTCAAGAGGGGGGAATAATTATGTGAAAGACGTTCATTCATTTTCTAAGAAAAGTGCAAGCATTTTATCTTTGTATCTTTTTACCTGTGCCAGAAAATGTATAGCATCCCAAAAAGCAAATGCCACATTTAAATTTTCATCTTTACTTACTTACTTTTTCATCTTTAAAGATACTATACTGTAATGAAGCAAACACTGTCCATTTATTATATCACTGGAATAAGAGTAGCCTCTACCAGGCTTCAGAGGTGGCTAAAAAGAGTAGAAATTGTGTAAATGGACGGGCCAGGAGAGAACATTTTGCTCTCTCTTTTAGCGGACTACTAGTAACTCCCCTGGCATGTTCAAGTTCTGTCTATTTGGCCAATTCCTACTCTTTCCAGCCACTTCTGAAGCCGGGTAGAGGCTAGAACAAGAGATACATGGAAGTAATTATCAGGTCTCTTCCAAGAGGCTATCACCCTGCCCCTCCCTGCCCCTTTGGTACAACCCAGCGGCTGCCTGGGAAGGACTGACATATGCAAACACAAGAGGTTCTGAGAGAAAGGAAAACAAACTGGGGCAAGCCAAGCACTGGTGCTGCACTGCTGAATGGGTGAGGACAGGACACACAATGCCTGACGGTGTTCCCGCGTGCATTACGTAACAACTGATCTGCTAATCGCCCGAGCAACATTGACAAAACACGGATAGTTTGTGCAAGGACTACAATCGAGCTGTGAACAGGAGATGTAGCTACTACTGAGCTGAGGAGAGCCCTGTTGGATGTGTAGTGACCATGCAGCCTGTCCAAGCTGGCCACAGTCTGCTGTAGTACAGTATATGGTAAGTCATCATGATGTATATACTGAGGGTGGTGCATGATGTGCACATGGCTAGACACATGGCACCACCAGGAATGTATTCTGTACAGCCAGCATCTGCAGTTTGTTTCTGGCTTAAGTATAGAGCTGAGAATAGAAGGAATAGTAGAAAATCAAAAGGAGACTGCCAGAAAATATGCTCTTGCACAGATGTGTATAGTAGCCAGATTGCAAACTAGGATTTGGTACTTTTTCAAACCAGTCTTGAAGAGCTTGCATATGCCTCTATGTTCTACTTCTAGATTAGGAGGTTATTTTCTTGAACAACTTTCTCCTGGCATAATATCAGGGCACACACATGTAGCTTGTTTTGGTGACGAGATTACATTGGATGTCTATAAATAGAAGATCAACAGCCCATGTACCAAGAAGCAAGCCTTATTGACAGAGCTGTCTATATTTTCCCTGGATGTAGCCTGTATCATGTTGACACCGTTCCAGCTTTGAATACTGTAGCAACCCCGACACTCTATAAATAATTGAAGCAAGGGCATACAGAGATGTATCAATAACAATTGACAGCGGCTAAACACATAATTATCCTGCATTGGTCTAGACACAATAATTAACATCTACGTGTGATGTCCTACTTTTAATGCCAGGTAAGTATTTATCCTGGTAGATACACATACTACATATATTACATAATGCCCCCCTCCCTCCTTTTACATGTACAAAGGGAGCAATCACTAATACTCCTTCATAGCCTCCATCAGGCCTTTCTATGGGGGTACGGATTGTAGAAGTAGGCAAAAAAAAGGGAAGAATAATTGGCCATAGCAGTCAGTCCACAGGAAGGACAAATGAACTCTACTTGGCCAAACTCTCTTGGCCAATTATTCCTCTATTTGGCTAAATTTTACTGTTTTTGAAGCCGCACACGTTTAGTCTGGTGGAGACGAAATTCTCCCTCTGAGGTCACATTCCTGCCGCTGGTCTCCCAGCAGGGTTTTTGTTTTCTCTTCTTCAGTAGGATTACTGCTACTAGAGTATATAAGGCTCAGTCATGTTCAGTACATAGACTTTACCCCCAGAGTAGCTGGTAATTTGTTAGCCTCTACCAGGCTTTGGAAGTGGCTGGAAAGAGTAGAAATTGACCAGACGGACGGATAACATTCCAGGGGAGTTGTTCCACTGAAGGAGTACATTTTTGAAAGGTGGTAAATGTACTCCTTTAGTAGACCAACCCCCCGGGCATATTATACTGTCTATTTGGACAATTTCTACACTTTCTATTGACTATAGATGTCATCCTTAAATAAGCGAATATGACCTCAAAAAGAGATGTTCTACCGAAATGCCAAGCAGAATACAAGTTTCGCTCTGGCTAGTGTAAATGTCTACCGGGTTTTAGCCAATTTCTACTCTTTCCGGACGCCTCCCAAAGCCTGTTAGAGGCTACGTTCTACCAGATGTGCTGCACCAACCCCCAAGGTTTCTACTGACAGGTGCACCAAAGCCAGGTGTGCATGCTTTAAACAGGTGTGGCATCATTTGAACAGGTGCACAGGTTCACAAGTTCACAGTCAGGGGAGACCAGCTGGGATATATTGCTTTTTTTAGCAGCTATTTGCCAACAGCTTACACTTTCACAACTGTTTGTCGTTAGCAGTCAGGTTCTAATCCTGCTATAAATCAGTATAATTGAGAAGGAGTGTTGGCCATTTCCTGAACATGTCCCATTACTTAGGTATGTGTGAATCTGTATCTGTATCTGTATAGCCGGTATAATACTATAACCGCCCTTCGGCGTAACACACCAGCTTCTGTATCTCTATAGCCGGTATAACCGCCCTTCGGCGTAACACACCAGCTTCGCAGGCACGCGGCGCGGCGGCAGCTAGCTATATCACATCGAACGAATTGTTACACACAATATTTGCACTTTTGATTGCAGGAGTTGTTTAAAGCTTTCTAGTGATGATGTCTAGTGAGTATGGTATTAATACCTGTACATGTACCTTTATAGTTACAGGTACAGGTACAAGTATATGCCGACTTGTACCTAAGACCTCTAGTTTATATTCTTTTTCATTCATCTGATAAGCAACCAAATTGGTCCAAATTGCGGAAAATGGAAATGCATCTCTGAATAATTTGGCTTAGCAGTACAAAAGAGGAAGGAGAAATGATTTAAATACCCACAAGATCTCTCCATTCTGATTCAAAAAAACATGGCCTGAAACACTGGAGGGGAATTGGAATTGTTCCTGGGTTTTATTTTATTCTTTCTAACTGGGTTTATGATCATTGACCTGCAGCTCATCTATAGTCTATGGGATCCTTACTTTGTTACCTTCGCCAAGAATTGGAGAAGGTTATGTTTTCGTGGCCGTGTGTGTGTCTGTCTGTGTGTCAACAGCATAACTCGAGAAAGATTAGATGGATTATATTGATATTTGGTAGGTGGGTAGGTCTTGATGAGAGCTGGAACTGATTAGATTTTTGGCCCCCTGGCGGCTTGTTATGGTACTGCAGCTGAACTTCCGGTTTTGATATCTCATGATCTAGACATGCTAGGGTGACGAAATTTGGGTGGTAGGTAGCTCTTGTGCCGGGGAAGAAGTGACGTGAGTTTGGGCCCCCTAGCGGCTTGCTATGGAACTGCAGGGCTATCTGTTTGAAAATATTAAAAAGAGGATAACTCAAGAACCGGTTGACGGATTTTCGTGATGTCTGGTTTATCATGTACTTCTGATTAATTGAGTTTTCTGCTACTGTACATGCGTCTAATTTCAATTTTATGGTAGGAGGGAAAAGGAGGTTTCCACTTTGTTTTGAATTCAGGGTTGAAACGATTATTAGGTACAGTAATCATACAAGAAAGTCATATTCCTAGTATCATCAATTTGTAGTATTGGGGTCTCCCCTCGAAAATAAAACCATCAGAAAAGTTTCAAGATTTAGAGTATGTACTGTAACTTGGAGCGAGAGGCCTGTGTTTCCAATCAGGGCAACATTGTAATGTCTATAAAAGAGTCCATAAAAGAGGCCATAAGGCTTAATGTAATAAGTCTAGGCTGGAGTACAATCGACAGTGCAGTAGTAGTCTCCACCAGAGACACTGTCACTTTCTGTTCAAAACAGTACTCTACAAGCAGAGGGTTAGGATCTGGCTTACTTTTGACATGTTTGAGGTTATAGCCAGTTGGTATCTTTTTTTACGTGAGCCATATGTTGGTAAATGGTGCATTGTAAGTGCCTGGCAAATGGATACTGCCTTGCCAATTTGATACTGTCTTTACAGCCACCTAAAGATCTGCTTGGAGATGACAAGAACAGTACTATTTAGCCAAATATAGGGAGAATAATTGGCCAGGAGAGTTTGGCCACCATAGTGTTCATTTGCCTTCTTTGGACTGACTGTCCTTACTCTTAGCCACTTATTTCCCTAGCTTCTACCAGGCTTTGGGAGGCAGCTGGAAAGAGTTGAAATCGGCCAAATAGAGATATAACATACCAAGGGAGATAGTCTGCTCTATTTGTCCAATTTCTACTCTTTCTAGCCGCCTCCCAAAGGAGGCTATGAAGTGGGTAAATTCGTCTTCCATTGCCTAAAAAGAAGAAGTAAAACCCAGTAAAACTAGTATCATGTATGTTGTAGAACATAGTATAATGCTAGACGTAGATATAGTCCCACATACCTCTGTATTTTCTTTCTTATGTTGTTTGTAACTAACTGCAATTAGCCCTCGGGCAAGTATTTGCGATAAACTTTCTATTGGGAAATAATAGAAAGTTTATCTGCTCTATTTGCCCAAATTCTACTCTTTGCAGCCGCCTCCCAAAGCCTGGTAGAGGCTATTATTTCCCTACAACAATCAAAACGTACCCCCATATAGGAAGGCCTGGAGTAGGCTAGGACACAGGAGCCAGCCAGGTCAGCTGGGGTCACCCTGCCCTTCTATTTGAGTCTGTGCTGGTAGACATAAACATGTTAGCCAAAGCCACCAAAAACAAACAATCAGTAGGGGCTGCGCTAATAGACAATTACCTATTCATTAGTCTGGAGTGTTTAGCCCCTAGTTAAAGTTAAAGGGGGGTGGGTCCTGTGTCAACCGGCTGCTTACAGGGGGGAACCCATGTTGAACAATGGCTTCATTTGTTCTCAAGAACAACCTTCAAGCGCTAGACGCAAAGTCAGAGTCGTTCACTTGAACTTGAACGCAGGTTTTGACCATGATTACAAAATCTGTTTATACCCAACAGAAAAACTTCACCTCCTAATGCACTTGTTAATGCATTCACACAAGATCAGCAAATAATACCTTTTACTTGTCAGTTTACATCACACGTCCTGTGTTTGGGTAAAGTTAAAGCGTAGTAGTGAAGGAATATGTCCTCTTGCACTTCTTGTACTCGTAGATGTGGCAGCTGGCTATATTTCACCTAGTTACACCTGGTCCTTTACACACGTACATATGTGTAAATGCCATTCAAAGCCATGCCCGTAGCAAAGAACCCCCCCCACAAGGCTCAAAGGTCCACTTTTTGGTCCACTTTTTATGTAAAGGTCCACTTTTTGGTCCACATTTTATGTCAAGGTCCACTTTTTGGTCCACATTTTATGTAAAGGTCCAAGATTTTCTTGAAAAGATGGACTGGAATCGTAGAAAAACTGCTCCCTTTGTCATTGAATAAAAATTTATCTCTGATTTTTTCTTGGAAATCCTCTCAAAAATGCATTAAATGCCATTTTAGAAGGTTCATTTTTCAAAATTTTCCGGGGGAGCATGCCCCCGGACCCCCCTAGAAACCTCGTCCCCTCAAGCAGTGGGAAGAACCCCCCCATTCAAAATCCTGGATACGGGCATGAAAGCTATCTAGTGATGATGCCCCTACTGTACTTGGGGGCAGTGAGTTTCTTTCTACAATAGGTCTTGGAAAAAAAATGAGTTTTTAAACACCTCAATCCTTGGTTGATAACTCTGGTACCTGAGTTAAAGGCATTGACTATTTCTT